CCTGTTTCACCCGCCACTCACCCCGCAATGCCACGCAATGCCACGCAAAACAAGCTTTTTCTCCAATGAACACGCACTTCCCGCGAAGGTTCACGTTTCAGCCTCTTCATCGCCATCAAAAATCAATATAAATCCACCTTCTCTTCCACCTCATCTCGCCGTCAGACTTTTCTCAGATTGATTCCTTTTCTCCCATGATGCCGGTCATGCTTTGGTTATGGTCCGATCCCTTCGTTGATCTCGCCTCAAGATACAGTTCCTGCGCACCGAAAGGATAGCGGCTTTTCCATCGACTGACGACCGCTTCAGTCCTGACGCGGAGATGGATCCAGGTTCAATTTTTGGATGACTTTCCAAAAGTGCTCTTCTTTAGTTCATATTGTGTATCTATCTTATTTCTATTTGTGAAAATCGTTGTCTGCACAAGCAGTTAGCTCCGTTTCCGTCCATTCAGTAAGAATGCTGAAGAGCCCAGTGAGAGAGCTATGGGTGAGAGAAGCCACCGCGACGGCGTCCCGATTCGCGTCGCATTGTATCAGAACACTGCGCAAAATCAAAAGCAAGATACCATGGATCAGGACCCTGCAGCTCAACTTCATCTTCTTCCACTACACCTACATTATCGGCGTGACTATCTTTGGGTCCATCTATCTCTATCCTGGTGGAAACATGTCATACACCGATGCGCTGCTCCAGTCTGCAGCCTCTGCGACTCAGAGCGGTATAAACACCGTTGACCTGAATCGCATATCGACTTATCAGCAAATCTTTCTATATCTGGGCTCCATGATCACCAATCCAATCGTGATCCATTCCTCCGTCGTGTTTATCCGCCTGCACTGGTTTGAGAAACGATTCCAACACGTCGTGCGAGAGGCGAAGATGTTGAGGCGAACCCGCTCGCGATCAAGGTCAAGAGCAGTAACCGTCGGTGCTGACGATCAGGACGTCAATAATGCAGAGATGGGCGTTCGTGGTAGGAAAATAACGGTCGTGCGGAACAGTGAGGGTGAGGCTTTGGGTCATTGTATTGAACCGAATAAGCAAAGAAAGGATAGCAACAACTCGACCGAGCCGAACGAAGACAGCCAGAGCCCCAATGATAGTAGGGAAGAGGCATCTAACACAACAGAACAGTCGGCTGGTGTGTCAGCTGCTTCCACACCGCACGGTGACGAACATCACATCACCTTCGTCGAAAATCAACGAAAGCAATCAAGAACGCTTAGGATTCCCAGTCCGCGCGAATTCGATAGAGGTGGAGTGCCGGAGGCCGTCGAAGATACTGGCCACACACCCATCCAAAGAATAGCCTCTCAGCCGGATGATAGGAAAAATGCCGCACCGCTTGAACAGCAAGCGTCTCCTACACAGCATATCACAATTGACGAGCCCAATATTACACGCTCCCGACGAGTAACTACGTTTCCTGGGGCCAACTCTCGTCCTACTACGGGCCACGGACCTACCGACGTCGAAGAGCCCACTCCGGAACAACGAAGAAGGACAAGAAGAAGGACATTTTCCTCGCTCTTTAGTACCCAAAATGGGTCGAGAGAAGCCCCGTATTTGAGCTGGGAGCCTACGATTGGGAGGAATTCCGCTTTCGTGGCCTTGACCGAGGAGCAAAAAGCCGAGCTTGGGGGTATTGAGTACAGGGCACTCAAAACTCTCGCTAGCATTCTGATCGGGTATTTCTTCTTTTTCCACATGCTTGGAATCGTCTGTTTGGTTCCCTGGATTTTGCATACGCACTGGGGCAAGTTTGTCACGGACGTTGGTGTTGGAAGGCCCTGGTGGGCAGTTTTCATCTCGGGCTCTGCCTTCAATGATCAAGGCTTTGCACTCACTCCTAACTCCTTGGCTTCGTTCTACAATGCCATATTCCCTTTGCTTTTGATGACGTTTCTGATCGTCATTGGCAACACTGGGTTCCCCTGCATGCTTCGTTTCGTTATATGGGTGTTATGGAAAGCTTTTCCCGAAGGCACTGCAATCAGGGAAGAACTTCATTTCCTCTTGGATCATCCACGGCGTTGTTTCACACTTCTATTTCCTAGTTCGGCGACTTGGTGGTTGTTTTGGGTACTTGTCATGTTGAATGGAACGGACTTGATACTCTTCATCATTCTGGATGTAAGTGGTTTTGAACAAGAGACAATGACAATCGCAGTTTCTAACATGATGAATAGCTCAACGATCGCGTTGTATCCTCGATACCCGGTGGAATACGATTTGTGGACGGGTTATTTCAGGCAGTAACAACAAGGACCGCTGGCTTGACCGTTCTGAGTATTACGGACCTTCATCCAGCTGTTCAAGTATCCTATATGATCATGATGTATATATCCGTTTACCCAATTGCGATCTCTCTACGCAGAACAAACGTGTACGAAGAAAAGAGTTTAGGAATCTATTCCAATATAGAAGAGCTGGAAGACCACGACCCCAACAAAGAACCAAGTTACGTCGGCTCACATCTACGAAGACAGCTCGGATTCGACATCTGGTATATCTTCCTGGGCCTCTTCATCATCGCCGTCGTCGAAGGTACACGCCTCCAGAAAGATCCCGGATTCACCTTGTTCGGCGTCCTCTTCGAAATCGTCTCCGCCTACGGGACCGTTGGCCTGTCGCTCGGATATCCCAACACCAACACCGCCTTGTCCGCGCAGTTTAAAGTGATTTCCAAACTAGTCATTGTCGCGATGATGATTCGCGGCAGGCATCGTGGCTTACCGTACCAGCTTGATCGTGCGGTACTTCTTCCCTCGGAGACGCTGCGGGAAAAGGAACTTCAGGACGCAGCGATGCAAATGAGGCGTCGAAGCTCGGCGCAAACTGGGGTGGCTGCTTCTTCGCGTCGACCGAGTGCGGTTGCGAGAGATGCTAGTGGTGCGACAACTGGATGGCAGCATGGTGCTTCTGACGGTCCATGGAGCTTCGGTGGTGCGAGATCTCGTACAGTTCCTCGATTACCGGTTCAACAAGAGGATGAACGACCTTAATATTTTCTTATTGTGAATTATCTTGATTTTGCTCTTATTTCTCCAGCACGATTTACAAACTAATATATGGGGCCGCCTCCTTTATGATCTACTGGTTTTCGTCTGAGCGAGTGGTTCAAGCGACGCGTTTCAGGGCGTGATATATGGTTTCCTATGACCTTCGGCTCAATTGCTACATCTGTTTTGAGTGTTTCTATCCTCTTCTTTTTGAGATAATACTGCGGTGTTCTGTTTAGACGTGCAAGATTGGGCTGGTATTGCATTGCATTTGGTGGACCTCTCTGCCTTGACTGTCAGTCTACGTATACATGTTCTACGGGTCCTTTTGATAACATACTATTATATATTCCAGTTCTAGACGAATATCTCTACTATTATTGTGCAGCTGCAGAATAAGGTCATGAAGCATGACCAGCTTCATCTACTATGTATTAATCTAGAAATTGACCATATAAATACTGACATCAGCCTGAGCATAACTACAATATTACCAGCTGTTCAGTTGAGATGAAAGTGCAAAATTGACTTTCAACGCAGGCAAGCACACCCCTGCCAATGACGTCGACAAGCCACCCGCAACTTGATTATCAAATCGCCGACTCGTTTCCGCGACTTAATTATCTCGTACGGGGTACCGGATAAGCGATCGAAAAAGCTGCATGCAGGCCCTGCTCTGCTTGTATTGAGTACTTATGCATTTCAGTTCGTGATGGACCTTTTTTAGTGCCAACGCGGAATTCCAGAAACGCAAGAGGCAAAAGACGTTCGCCGAGAGCCGCGTTGACTGCCACTATTTGCCGGAATGCGTTACTCGCATCCCACGAGACTGACATCATTACCATGATTCTAGGTGTGAGGGCCGTTAAGGGTCGAAAGCTTAAGAATCTGCTTTTTGAGGGGGTTGTTCGCCATCCCATGGCCGAATCTACTGCAGACTCACCAGAACCCTTCTGATTCTTCTTCTGCATCTCTCTCTCTCTCTCCCCGCCATATCATTCATTTAGCCAATTGAATGTATTTGGAGGAAACACAGCAAAGCACGCTCAGATATTGATTGACAGATCTGAAATCTGCTCTCGAAAAACCTTCCTCTGGTGTCAAAAGAACAATAAAACAACGCGGCTCTCCGTAGCTCCCGCCCAGTGTTCCACGGAAACATCTTCGCTTAATTGCATTTCGCAAACACAATGGTGCGTTCCATTCTTAGTCTCATACCTTACCAGTTACCCTATTCCACATTCACCCTCGGCCCTAATCCAGACATACAACGCCGTTAAAAGTATGTCCTTCCTAACTCAAACCCATCCAGAAACTCCCTCCCAACTTCCTTGAAGCACGACAAAATGTGCCTCCCGCAGGCGCCGCCCCCAATTGCGACTGTCTTAGCGGTGGTGCCATCGCTGGCATCGTCCTCGGTAGCATAGCCGGCTTCTTCCTCCTCTACTGGCTGATCAAGCTTGCCTATGAAGCCTCGAGTTCGAACGTTTCAGAAACCATCACGTATCGCGGCGGCAGCAGCAGACATGGCCACCCTCACCGACGTAAAAGACGGTCGTCATCATATATCGAAAAGGGCAGCCCGATATCGACAAGGCGATATCGACGCGAGGTGATAGAACGCCCTGCGAAGGTTTATGTTAGTTGAGTAGATAATTTTCCGGGCTGGGGAAAGATGGGGAGGAGTGTTTTGATTCATTGTCGTCGACTTGCTTTCAAATTGTATAGTATAGTATGTAAGATTCATTTTCTGGACTGAGTTGGTTTGAATGTCCCATATTTATGACTCGTGAGTCTCTTGGATATTGAAAATATAATGTCATAATTCATTTGTTGGCTTATGTATCAATCGATCGTCAAAGAATCTTCTTGTTTGATTTGACGTGCCTTGCGACTCGCAAGTTCGCTCACTTATTGACTCTCTACAAGTACGGAGTACATACGGAGTATTCATAATGTGAATTTGGGAAAATTTTTGGGCAAGTCGCATTCAAGTCCCTAGTGGTGTAGTGGTTAACATCGCCGTCTTTCACACGGCAGCCCTGGGTTCGATTCCCAGCTAGGGAGAAAGAAAAGATCATGTTTTTTTTCTCCCTTGCTCTCACTCCCGCGTCAATTTGGACGAATAAAATACAAAATGTTCTACTAGACTACCACAAATGCAAAACATTTGCAAAGACAGACTGCCTGCTATTTCTTAACTTTGTTCCTAGTAGTGTTAGAATCTCTACAGTAAAATTGACTCTTGATCTTGTGTGTATTTGCCTGATTTACAAATTCTGACTGTAGCTCACTTATTTACATGCAGAGATTTTTTCTTGACATCTTCTTACATGTAATTATGTTTTTAATTAATCAAAAATCATGATATTGTGTTTTTATTTTTTAATATATTTTTGCAGATAAATTCACATTATTTTTTTAATTAATAATTTATTTATAAATTGAATTTTCAGCTTCTGAGTTAAAATTGAACAATTATAAATTTGTAAAATAAACTGAATTTTGTTTTAATTTGATTTTTTTTTTAGTAAATATATATTTTGTTAATTTATTACTATTGTTGTGATAAATTAATTTAAATTAAAATTTTGTTAATTATAATTTAATTTGCAGTTTAAATTTTGTTTAAATTTTTTATGAATATGTTATTTAAAATTTTCAAATTTTTTTTATTTTCAAATTTTTTTTAATATTTTAATATAATGTTCTGTAGATTTTGCAGATCTAGCTGTTTGTAAAAATTTTGAAACTTTATTTTAAAAAATGTTTTAATTAATTTATTGACAATCATGCTGTTTGTTGATGTGCCATATATAATTTAAATTTTTTTATTTATAATTTTTTACTGCAATTAATGATTATGAATATTAATGTGCTGTAATTTAATCTGCAATCTGATTATATTTTTATTAATAAATTAAATTGTTTGTTGATTATTGCATTGAATTGTTATTTTATGTTATTTTAAATTTATAATTAATTTTTTTAATAGCAAATTAATATAAATGTTTTTTTTAACTGCTTGAAACAATGTTAATAATTTTATTTTAATTGTAAATGTGATGACAGTATTCTGCTTGTTAATTTATCAGTTAATTAAATTTTTAAACAATTTTATAACATATATCTGAAAATTTTTGTGATCAAAAATATTGTTTGCAAAGAATGTGTTGCTAGTTATAATTAACTTGTTTTCACTTTCATATATTAGAAAAAAATATTTAAATTAATTAAGATAATTCAATATTTAATCTGCAGCTGCATGATGTTTATTTAATAAATTTATCATGAATTGTGAGAGTTTAAAAACTGCAAAAACTATATCTGAATGAGTTGTAATGATAATATATAAAAAAAAATTAATTTTTCATTAATATTTTATAATAAATAATTTGAAAGCTTGAACATTATTTAAAAATAATTTTTTTTATTTATTAAAATATTATTTAATGTAAATGAATTATCTGCAAGTTTGAATATTTTAATTTTTGTCAATATATAATATTTAATTCAGTTAAATTTTGTTTGCAGCATGATTTTTTATAATTTTTATTTTTAAAAATTATTGAAATTTTTTTTTAAAATGTTGAAATTTTGTTTGATTTGTAACATTTTCATTATATTTTTTGCTTTCAATTTGATTTTCTTGCTGAATTCTAGTATTATATTGTCAATGTAAAAAAATAAAATTATATTTTTTTTTAGAAAGCAATATAACTTGTATGATATTTGTTTGAATTTTAGCTTCAGTAACTTTTGTGTAAAAAATTTTTATCAGAAAATTGAAAATTTTCTTAAACTGTAAAAAGTTTTATTTAATTGTAAAATCATATTTTTTTTGTTTATTTAATGACATTTGCATGTAAATTTTTTCATTTAATAAAATATGTACAGAAATATTAATGATGTCATATTGCTTCAATTTTAAATTAAAATGAATTGTTATAATCATCATGATTTGAAAAAAACTTGTTGCTAGAATTGCTGCATACATATTTTTTGTTTTAATTTTTGCTTATTGATTTTTTTTCATTATGAGTCTTGCTTTGCATTTGATGTATTTCTCATACTTGTTAAATTTATATATGTATACTCATATACAATTAAGAATTTTACAACTGTATGTTTTTTTTTCTTAATAAATAATTATAAATTTATCAGTTTATGATTTTGCAGATGATTTTTTTTGATTTATTTAAATTATTCAGCTAATGAATAATTTTATATTTCATTTTAATAAATTGAAGTTTTTGAAAAATTTTTGTGATGTAGAATATGTAAATTTTTAAAATTGTATTTTATTAAATGCTTCACTTTTGTTTTTGTAACTGTTTTATTTTTTATATATTTTATTTATTATATTTTTTTTTCAATTGTGAATGTGATTTTTCAGAATTTAAAAAATTGATTAAAGTGATAATTTTTTTTTGTATTATTGCTTTAATTGTATAATTGTTAGAAAACTTGCTTCAGATGTTTCTGAAAATGTAAAATATAATTTGCAAAAATTTATTTCAATAAAATCTTGCTTAGTTATTGAAGAAAAATTTTGTATGTCAGTTAAGCTGTTTGTAGAATTTGTAATATTTAAAAAAAATTAAATATTTTATTATTTTTAATTCTTATTTCTTTCTGGAAATTTTTTATTCTGATAAAAAAAGTTTTGTATTGTTTTTTTATGATGAATTTTTGAGTTTTTTTATTGAAATAAATTTTTTAATTTATCAGATTCTGAAATCTTCTGCAGAAATTCTTGCAGCTTTTTTACATTTAAATATTTGAATTGATTTTTGACTGCTTTCTTAAACTGTTCAATATTTTCATTTCATTAACTCTGAAAATTTTTTCAGAATTTTCTTCTATATTTTTAATGACTTAAATCATTAAAATACAAGTTTTGAAAAAATAATTCAGCATACTTTCAGTTTATATCTGATTAATTCACATATTTTACAGTTGTTTGAATTTGCAATTTGTGATTTGATTACTGACTGCTGCAAATCATTAAAAACTGAATTTTTATTTTGTTATTTTTTTTGTAAATAAATATTTTATTCTTGTTTTTGATTTTTGATTTTTTTGTTTCAGATAATTTTTCTTTAAAAATGTTTTTGTTTAAAAGCTTAAAAATTTTTAAATTGTTTGTAAATCAAACAGTAAAGACACTTTTTATAATAATTTTATGTTTTTAAAATTTAACTAAAATTGACTTCAGATGTTGATAAAAATAAGCAGTTAGCTCATAAAAATTGAAATTTTCAGTGTTGATTTGATTTTTAAAATATATTTTATAAAAATTTATTTAATTTGCAGGTACAGAGTTTTGTTGCAGTTATTTTTTCAGCATTTTAAATCAGTTTTTGCTACTGAATGTAAATTATAATTTTTTGATTTTTAAATAATTTATTGTTGATTCAAATATATTTACTTATTTTGTTCAATTTTTGACAGTTGTTTTTGAATTGCAAATATACTCAAAATAATTTTTTAATTTATTATTAATTTTTTTAATTTTATTTTATACTCTGATTTTCAGCTTAAAATATTAAATTGCAAATAAATTTTTAGATTTGCAATATTTAAATTTATAATTCTTGCAAATTATTGTTTTCATTTATGTATTTAGCTTGTTAAATGTATTCAATTACTTTTTGTAGCTTATCAAATTACATTCATATTTACAAACTTGCAATAAATAAATTTAATGCTTTAAATTTTAAATTTTATACTTCTTGTCAAATTGTCATACTGATCTGAACCTTCTTAGCATATGAGCTGCTAGTTACTAGCAGCTAAGTTATGCTTTGCTTATGACATATTCTATATTGACTTTTGCCTGCATGTATATTATAAAGAATACATTATTTTGCTTTTTGAAAAAAGCAAGCAATCAGTTCAATACAACTTGAATTATAAGCTAATACTTTTTTTTTATTATATAACTAATAAATAACTGCTTGTTATCTTCTATCTGAAGCTCTGAACTTGCTTGCTTGTTTATCACTATATGAATAATCATTTAAAATAACTGAAACAATTGATTGTAAATTCACTGTTACAGTTCTAATCATTTTTTTATATAATTAGTTTGAAGTTATGCTGTCATTATTTGAAAAAAATATGTCAGAAAAAAAAACAATTTTTTAAAATAATAGTTCAATCTGAGAAAAATCTTGATTATATATAAAAATTACAGAAAAAATTTACTGTTCTGAAAAATATTTTTGAATTAAACAATTTTAAATCAGTGAGTTCAACATCTGAATTTACTGTTATAAGTTTATTTAATTAAGAGCAATTTAATTAGTTAATTAATGCTTTAACACTGACACATCACAGCAAGAAAAAAAAGTTTTCTGAATCTGAGCTATATTATAGCAAGAATCATAAAAAATATTAACAATAAACACATTCAGTAAAGAATTATTTTGATGATAAATTGAATATATATATTATAAAAAAAATAAAATTCAATACATAGCAGCAAGATTACAGAATAATGTTTAATTAATTAAATTTTTTAAATGAAAATTGATTAATTTGAACAATTATACATAAACTTAATTTAAGTTATTTCTTCTGAATCAGATCAAAGCATCAGAAAATCACAGCATGCTAGCTAATGAAAAATAACTGAAACTATATCAACATTTTACACAATTAATTATTAATTTTGAACATGTTTACATTGATAAATGAAATGAGATGAAGCTTTCTATCTTATTATGTCAGAAGAATGAATTTTGAAATTAATATTTTTTTAATAAATTAATTTCAAAGCTTCACAGTGTTATTATGTCACATCAGCAAGTATCTTACAAAATAATTAAAATAATTTTACTGAAAGCTTACATGAAACAAGTATAAAGTAAAATTACTAAAAATCAACAAAACTTTAAACATTAACAGCAACAAAAGTCAAGATGATGTAATTCTGATAAGAAGTGAGAAAATGACTTAAAAAATCAGAATCAAGCAGTAAAAAAAATTGTGATTTACATCATGTTATACTGCAGAAAAAAAGCAAAAATATAAAAAAAAATCATTGTTTTATTTGTAATGAA